CCTTGGGAGGTCCGTTTGCCTTGTTTTTGTGACGTCGCCTGCTGCTTCACCTGCGAAAAGGAATGAATCGCGGGAGCCTGCGCGGGGAAAAATTGGGATTGGGGGCGACGGGAGAGAATATATATATATAGAGAGAGAGAGAGGAACAACATAACAAACAAAAAAAACACATCGGAATTGGGATCGACAAAAGACAAACGGAGACAGAGAGACAGAGAGATAAACACACAAAACAAGATAACCATACATGGAGAGACGTATAGAAAACAAAAACATCGCCCAAAAGCGCTCCAAGAGGGCCCCACGATGCCGTTTGAGAGCCTCCGAGAAGGGGGGGGGGGGGGGAATTTCTCCCCCCCTTTTTTTGAGCCATGGTGCCCAAGACGGCCCCGAGAGGCCTCCCAGACCCCCAAAGAGCCCCAAGAGGGCTCCAATACTGCCCCAAAACAATCCTCAAGAGGGCCCCAAGAAGGCCTCAAGAGGACCCCAAGAGACAACCCCAAGATGGCCCAAGATAGCCGAGCATGGCTCAAGATAGCCTCCGACAGCCTCTAGCCGAGCATGGCTCAAGATAGCCTCCAAAAAGGCCTCAAGAAAGCTGGCAATAAATTGTGGATGGGCTGGTGGGGACATTTTTTTTGACCTGCGGCCCCAAGGACGGCTCCAGAGAGCGGGTCAATCTCGACCGGGGCGCAATGCGAGACGATTGGCAACGAAAGCACATAGGCCAACGCCGCAATGCACGTGCGAGGGACAAAATGAACCTCATTAGAGCCGACCCTGGTGGGGATATTTTTTTTTGATTCGCGGCCCGCCAGGAAAAGTCAAGAGGGCGGTGTGAACGAGGCTGGGACACAGCGCACGGGAAGGCAAATAATTAACGGCGCAGCACAAGTGCCGGCCGAGAAGAAGCAGCTGAGCATGTGCCAGCAGCAGAAAATTAACAACGCTGAACATGTGCCAGCATACTGCAAATGGGAAGTACCAGCCGCTGCCTGGCGGGGATACGCGAAGCGTCAAGAATTTGACCAGGAGAAGAGAGGGAGGGAGGGAAACGAGGGAGAGACTCAGAGAGAGAAAAGAGTATCCACTGTCCCCTTGGGGGCGCCAAAAGCTGCGCGAGGGTACTTGCCGCGCGACTGGCCTGTGGTCGAGGTGCTGCCAGGTCTTCTATAGATGGTCCCTGTCGTCCGTCTATAGGAGACCGATTTCTGACCACACCCACTTCCCGAGGTGCCTTGCGAAAAACGGTTTCCAGAGGTGGAGGTGGGCAGCTCCCCCGCCCCAGGGGAAGGAACAACTACCCACATCCACCCCCGAGGGCCTATCATAGAATCGAGGATCCAGAGGTGGATGTGGTCAGAAATCGCGGTTCGAGTCTAGTCTCCTTACAGCTGCCCGCTGGTCGGCCCGCGGCGTGCAGAGGAGCGCCTCGCGCGGTGGCCCGCGCGGGCCGCGTGAGCGCGGCGCGCGGCACCGGAGACGCGGGCGCCCGCGCGCGACCTTACGCGGGCACCTTTGAAGGGGCCCTGGGACACACAAATAAATACACACAAATAAAAAGATCCCCCATATTTTCGCATATTTTCTGGGTTTTTGTCTTCCCCCCACTTCCCATATTTTCCTGGGGATCGTCGGTGAATTGTGTCCCTGTGTGTGTGTTTTTCCCTCTTGAAACTTGCGCGCGCCGAGACGCGCAAGTTTCAAGAGGGAGGAGGAGGAGGAGGAGGAGGAGGAGGAGGAGGAGGAGGAGGAGGAGGAGGAGGAGGAGGAGGAGGAGGAGGAGGAGGAGGGAGGAGGAGAGGAGGAGGAGGAGGAGGAGGAGGGAGGGAGGAGGAGGGAGGAGTGAAGACGGAACCCGTTGCCCTTCGTCGCTCGCCTGGGGAGCCCGGAGCACGAAGCACGCCCGCACACGGGCACCTTTTGGGAGTCCCAGAACGGTGCGGTGACTGACCGTGCGGTGACCTCGAAGCCCTCCCAGTCCTCCCAGACCTCCTCCTCCTCCTCCTCCTTCTCTTCCTCCTCCTCCTCCTCCTCCTCCTCCTCCTCCTCCTCCTCCTGCTGCTGAACTGGAGTCCCGGAACGGTGCGGTGACAGACCGTGCGGTGACCTCGAAATCCCCCCAAGACCTGACCGCACGGTCACGGTCCGTCACCGCACGGCCTTGGGACCCTGGAGGCCCCTGTCGCCCGAGACGTCCTCGGAGAAGGACTCGAGTCCCAAAACCGTGCGGTGACCCCGAATCCCCACCGACTCACCGCACGGTGTGGTCACCACACCGTTTGGGGGTCCCCGGGCACCGTTTGAGGTGTTGCGGGTGCGGCGCCGGGGCGCCAGAGCGTCAGAAAACGAGGCCCTGTCAGAAGTCCTGTTGGGCCTTGTTCCAAACTCTTGTGCGGCACCTTCCAAAATCTCTTGCCCTTGGGGCTGAAGATATCGCCCTTGAGGCAAGAAGGTCGACTGGTGAAGGGGTCCCTCAAATTCCTGGCCACTCTAGGCTGCCCAAGGATTCCTTCAGGGATGCGCCCGCACTGCCAGGGGGTCCCACGAGGTCTCGCCGACGGCCCTGGGAGGCAACGAGAGGCAGGAAAGGCGAGGGAGGGGCTGAGCGGCCGCGGCAGCGCAAGACGGCGTCGAGCAAGACGTGCGCCGCAAAGCGAGGTGAGCAAGTGGGCGCGCCGTTTGACGTGTACAGCTTCCCCAGCCAACCCGACGCTGAGGCTGGGGAGATTCGGATGGGTGGGTCGGGAGTGCCTGCCGCTCCTCTTGGAGCACTACTCGTGCAGACCCACGGGGAAGAAGGGAGCGAGTAGGGCAAAAGGGGGGATCGTCGAGGGGGAACTCGGCGGGAGGCCGGCCGAATTGCCGGGCGACGCATCTCCTCGCGAACGCCGTCCTGAGCCTGCAACGTCCGCGGGATCGCCGCACGGAATCCTCGACCCCGTCTGGGTAGAGAACCTTTAGCACTTCGATTCCACGGACGACCCTGCACCGATCACACGGACGACGGTTCCCCGATGGCATGAAGGGAACGGGTCCTGAGGGAAGATGGCCCTGGACTCCGGGGCCTTCCCCCAAAGTTCAACTCTCCATCCTGGGTCCTCTTTCCCAACCGTCCTGTGGGTGTTGGGTCCTCGTCTCGAAGAGACGGTGCCCCGCGTTCCTCTCCTCTCCTCTCGTCCTCCTCTCCTCCTCCCCCTCCTCCTTCCCCCTCCCTCCCCCCCCTCCTTGCCTCTGCCTTCCACATGTCCATGCCTATACACCTCTCACGCGTTTCGTGGCCCCATAGGGAGCTCCACCGAAGGCCCCAATGGCAGTGTCCACATGCGTCCGCGCCACCCATTTCGGCTCACCTCTCACACGTTTCGTCGCCCCTCAAGGAGCTCCACCGAAGGCCCCAGTGGCGGTGTCCACATGCGTCCGCGCCACCCATTTCGGCGCACCCCTCACACGATTCGTGCCCCTATAGAGAGCTCCACCGAAGGCCCCAGTGGCGGTGTCCACATGCGTCCGCGCCACCCATTTCGGCGCACCCCTCGCACGTTTCGTGGCCTATGTGGAGCTCCACCGAAGGCCCCAGCGGCGGTGTCCACATGCGTCTGCGCCACCCATTTCGGCGCCCCCCTCACATGTTTCGTGGCCCCATAGGAGCTCAACCGAAAGCCCCAGTGGCGGTGTCCACATGCGTCCGCGCCATCCATTTCGGCACACCCCTCACACGTTTCGTGGCCCCATAGGGAGCTCAACCGAATGCCCCAATGGCGGTGTCCACACGCGTCCGCGCCAACCATGTCGGCGCACCCCTCACACGATTCGTGCCCCTGTAGAGAGCTCCACCGAAGGCCCCAGTGGCGTTGTCCACATGCGTCCGCCTTATAAATTTCGGCGCACCCCTCGCACGTTTCGTGGAACCATAAGGAGCTCCACCGAAGGCCTCAGTAGCGGTGTCCACATGCGTCCGCGCCACCCATGTCGGCGCACCCGTCACAGGTTTCGTGGCCCCATAGGCAGCTCCACCGAATGCCCCAGTGGCGGTGTCCACATGCGTCTGCGCCACCCATTTCGGCACATCCCTCGCAGGTTTCATGGCCAAATAGGGAACTCCACCGAAGGCCCCCACGACGGTGTCCACATGCGTCCGCGCCACCCATGGCCCCATAGAGAGCTCCACCGAAGGCCTCAACGGCGGTGTCCACATGTGTCCGCGCCACCAATTTTGGCGCACCCCTCGCACGTTTCGTGGCCCCATACGGAGCTCCACCGATGACTGTACTCACAACTGCAGTACTGTCAACTGCATATGGTTGGGTCTTTCGCCAGGCCAATTTTTGCTGGTCCCAAGGCTGATGAGGTCCCTGGTAGTCCGAAGACAACGGAAAACCTCAAGACCCGTTTCCCTCGAGACCCGTTCCATTCCTGGCGACGCTCCCGCTCGACCCCGAGCACGTCAGCCGCAACGGCGGCCGCATCGGGCCTGGACCAGGAAATGCAAGGAATCGAGTTTGCAGCCAACCCGTATCATCAGGATGCGCGGTAAGGATGCAATGGCCTTGGAGGGCCACGTTAGCGTTTTTCGAATGGGGTTGGCCAGCGAGAGTGGCCAAGCATGGGCCAAGGGGCAAGGATGCGAGGGACCCTTTGGGAAGGTTGCCCATCCTTACTATGCGGGTCGGCTGCACCTCTTCCCCACCCCCCAAAAAAGCTGACAGCCATCAGCAGGCGAAGGGCGTGCACCGATCGCACGGGCGACGGCTCACACCCGCTCGACCCCGACCCCGAGAAGGAGAAGGCCTTCTCAGAAGGCCCGGGGCTTCTCAGAACCCCGGGCCCTCGGACAGCGGCCTTGGCGGGTGGAGGGCAGCGAGGACGAGGGCGAGGGGAAGGAGGCGAAAGGGGGGGAAAGCGACTGAACGATAGAGAGCGACAGCGGACGAGGGGGACCGGCATCGCGCGAGGGAAAGAGAGGGAGAGAAAACGAGAAAGAAAACGGCAGGACGGGCGCTCCTCCTGGACCACGCCGACGGCGGCGGAGATGCCCGCGGAGAGCCACGTGAAGTAGTCCAAGCCAGCGTGCTGCTCCTGCGGCCACAGAGCGCCGGAGGGAGGTCCACCCCGCCAGGGCGCGACTGGGCGCGGAGGAGCTCGCGCAGGCCCCAAAGGGGCCAGCGTGCAGAGAGGACGCTGGCCGGAGCAGGGTGCCATGAGCAATGCTCGGCCTGAACAATGTTTTTCCCAACCATCTTGTGGCGTCGGGTCCTCGCTGTGAAGAAACAGCGCCTCGCGCTCTTCTCTCCTCATTCCTCCTCATCCCCCTTTTTTGTGTCCTCCGCACATCTCTGATTTGGCAAACCCAGCACAGCGTTTCGTGACCCCAAAGGGAGCTCCACCGAAAGCCCCAATGGCAAAGTTCGCGTGGCGGCCTCGAGCCATTTCGGCCCACCCCTCACGAGGGTTGTGGCCCCGTGGGGAGCCCCACCGAAGGCCCCAGAGGCAGGGTTCGCATGGCGGCCTCGATTCATGTCGGCACGCCCCTCACGAGGATCGTGGCCCCATAGGGAACTCCACCGAAGGCGCCACTGACAGGGTTCGCATTGCGGCCTCGGGCGATTTCGGCACACCCCTCACGAGGATCGCGGCCCAGTAGGAGTTCCGCCGAAGGCTCCAATTGCAGGGCTCGCGTTGCAACCTCGGGCCATTTCGGCACACCCCTCACGGGGATCGTGGCCCCACGGGGGGCTCCACGGGAGGCGCCAGTGGCAGGGTTCGCATGGCGGCCTCGGGCCATTTCGGCACACCCCTCGCGGGGATCGCGGCCCCGCGGGGAGCTCCACCGAAGGCGCCAGTGGCAGGGCTCGCATTGCGGCCTTGGGCGATTTCGGGACACCCCTCAGGGGATCGCGGCCCCGTGGGGAGCTCCGCTGACGGAGGCGCCAGCGGCAGGGTTCGCATTGCGGCCTCGGGCCATTTCGGCACACCCCCCACGGGGATCGTTGTCCCACGGGGAGATCCACCGAAGGCGCCGGCGACAAGGTTCGCGTTGCGGCCTCGGGCGATTTAGACACACCCTCACGGGGTTCGCGGCATTGCAGGGAGCTCCACCGAAGGCGCCAGCGGCAGGGTTCGCACGGCGGCCCCGGGCCATTTCGGCACACCCCTCACGAGGATCGCGGCCCCAGAGGAAGCTCCACCGAAGACCCCAGCGGCAGGATTCGAATTGCGGCCTCGGGCAATCTCGGCACACCCTTCACGAACATTGCCCTCGCGAGGATCGGGGCCCCATAGCTGCGCTGCTTCAATAGCCGCGCCTGGGCGTCGTGCTCCGCCTTGTCGACGTGCGACGCCGCCTCCTTCCTCGTGGCTCTCAGAGCACTCTCCTGCTTCTGTTCCTCGGTCAGAGGGGCGCCGTCCTCGTCGTCATCGGCCCCCGCGAAGACGGCCGCGAACGCGCCCCTGAGCACGTCGGGCCCCGGCGGGGAGCCGTGGCCGCGTTGGGGGCGCGGGCGAGGATGGCATTCGCAATTGCGGTATTCACAACTACATGCGGTTGGGTCCTTCGCCAGGCTAATTCGCCTTCGTTTTGCATTCGTTTCCTTCGTTTTGTTTTCAATCCACCCTTGCTGCAGAATGCGACGAAACGAAAACGGCACTCGAAATCGCCAAAATGCAAGTCAGGTCGACCCCTGGCTGGGAACGCCGAAGGAGGCCATTCGGGGGCTGCGATGGGGCAGGGGCTCGCAGCCCATGTAATCTTTTCACGCCCTGTGATCATTCCGCCCTCGCGTTCGTCGTCCTCGCACAAGTCGCCCTCCTCCTTCGCTTCCCGGGCCGTCGAATCGAATTGACGCCCGCGCGATCGGCCGGGCCAGACTCTGGCCTGCATTGCACGGGCACTCCCGCGCGCGATCGAAGATTGGACGCGGGCCCCACGCGAGATGGCATCGCGACCTCGCGCAGTGGCTCGCGCGGGCCGCCCGCGCGGAACGCCGCGATGGAACCCAAGGGCGCTTGCGCGCGGCCCGCGCGCCGCAGCTGCCACTTCCCGGCGAGCTTCCTCGCTGCGCTGAGCGGGGTCACGCGGTGAATGGCAAACTGCGCTAGCGTCTTCGCTCGAGAACGCGCGGGCCGACGCGCGGCCCTCGCCGTCGCGCGCGGGCGCCTTTCGCCGCGACTCCACGGGGCCCCGCGCGGCGCGCGTGCAGCGGGGCGCCCGGGCGCCCCGATAGCAAGCGCAATGGCGCAGACAAGTGAAGCTGCGAAACACGCGCGTCATAATCTACAACTCAGGGCCACTCGCACCCCGCTAGGGAAATCAGGCGCGACAGCACTCGCTGGCGAAAGATGCGCCGCGCGGCGGAACGCAGGTGCTCGGCAATGCCTCAGAGGGGCGCCCGCCCCGACCAGCTGAGCGCCAGCCCCGGCGCCGCCCTGGTCGCAACCGAACAAAACGCGCGTCTGGGCGTCTCCCGCGCGCGCCGCGCGCGCGACTGGGAAGATGCGCCGACGCGCGAGAGCGCGACCCCAACGCTGAAAGCTTGCGCCGCGAGAAATTCCACAATAACCGCGAATCGCTGCGGTCCAGAACGCGGCCCGCAAGGCGCAGCCAGTTCTGCGGCCCCCGCGAGGCCGGCTCTCGCGACCCCGCCTAAGTCCCCCCACTGGAGGCACGGGGCCGCTCGGGGGGGCCGTCGGGCGGCGGCCGCCGCGGCCGCTGCGAAGCGACGAGCCTCTGGGCCGCGAGTTGGCCGATCTCGAGGGGCAGCTGCACGAGCGCGCAGAGCAGTGGGCATGCAGCGAGAATGGCAGATAGGATTTTCGCGTCTTCCAGCCTAGCGGCTCCGAGGCGCACGCGTTCTCAAAGGGGGGGGCGCTGGCCGGGCCCCGGGCCACGCTCGCGGGGGCGCTGCAACGAGCGATGCGGTCGATGGCCCTTCCCGCGCCAGCGCGGCAATGCATTTGTTGCAGATATTGCCGCAGGGGGCAATTTTTCTGCGACGCATGGATGACGCTGGCTCCTGCAATTTCTTCCAACACGCGCCAGCTCACATCGCCACCTGCGAGGGGGGCGCAGAATTTCTGGGCTACGCGATCGGTTCAGAGATTGCCTCAAAGGCGCTCGCGAGAATGTAGATCAGGAGTTCCCAACCCGCCAACCCATGATTATGGGCGCATTCGTCGCGCACTGAAATAGCAAAGAAACCGCGCACTGCTGCCATACTAATCGCCAACCAACATGGCTCACGAATCTTACACTAATGGCGCACCAATCGCGCACGAATCGCGCACGAATCTCGCACCAATTGCACACTATTCGCGCACTAGTCGCGCAATCATCGCAGGCCAGGCGGGAGCAGGGGTCCACGCTGAGAGCGCACCAAGTAATGCACTAAAGTTGGATGGTCGCACACGAATTTCCCGCAATAGTTTCACGGGCTTTTCTAACAAATCTCTGCTGTTTTGAGAAGGGTGCGTCGCGGGGCGCCCTGGGGCAGCGCTGGGGGGGTGGTCAGAGCGGCCGCCCCTGGGTGGCCCGCAGACGGGCCAGTCTGGGCCGCCCCTCAGCACACGCACCCCCTTCGGCTAGGGGTGGACCAGCCTGGGCCCTCCGCGGGGCTCGCAACGGAGGAGCCCCGTCGTCCCTGGGCCGCGCGGGGCCTGGCGAAGTCCAGCAAGGAAGTTCCACGGGAGCATCGGGGTGCCTCTGGGAATCCTTCGGGGGGCCTCTAGGGCCCCTCTAGGAACTTCTGGAAACCCTACGAGAGGCCGCTAGTGAGCAGGAATTTGCTCCACTGGGCGCTACCCAACCTTTGTTTCTGTACCCCGCGCTGCTCTATCTCACCCGGCGCTGCTCTTCCATCTGCCTTGCCCTACTCTTTGGCTCTTCTTGGAAGACGCAGTTTTTGCGACTAGGTTTTTGACCAGCTAAAAACGCAAGGCAAGAAACAACACAAAACACACGACGGTGCCTTAGCGTTGTTAGCTCCGTTTTTAAACGTTGTTTGGCCCGTCGGTGCGAAACCTCAAATTGTTTTACAAATGTGGTTTCTGGTCGGAGGCTGTTCCTTGTCATTCCTGCTGTTTTCGTTCCCGCTCGCTTCTGCCGCGGTTCAAACAGGCCCAAAGGCCCGATGGCACCAGGAGGGATAATCGGCCATCGGGCCCGCCAAACTGCACGCCTGGAGAATGACTGCACGCCGGGAAAAGGACATGACGCCGTAGATATGAAACGCCCAATGATCTGAATCTCCGAAGAAGCCCAACTTAAAAACTCCCAGAATTCGTTTTTCTTGCCGGGACCAGAAAATGCGAAACAATGATGCACATCACGATGCGTTAAGATGGTTTTTTACCTCAGAAAAAAACCTCCTGGCCAGTTCTAAAAGCAAGCCTTACTCGACTCGGATATTACGTATTCCGATGCAGCCGACATGTCCCTACTCGGCTTGACCCTGTCCGACGCCGCGAAACTCTACACTTCCCCTGCTTCAAGTCTACTCGACCCAAGTCTACCCAAAGTCCTTCTTCGACTACTCTACTCTACTTATTATCTGCCCTGTCCCACTCGACTGTACTCTTCTTCGCTCTGCCCTAGTCGACTTCCGAATTGGACCTTTGCCCTGCGTGAATCGGGACGCCATTGCGACAGCCAGAGGAAGACATTGCAATGGCAGAAGTGGCCGCTGCAATAACAGAATTCATTGAACCAATTGCCGTAGTCGGGGGCAACATCAAGGCGTGGGGCTCCAAACGGACCATTCCAACTGTTTGGCGCCGCGCCGAAAATCCCGGCCCTCGCGGGATGGAACAAGGCGGCCTCGCGCGCAGAAGTAAACACAATGGTGGAAGGTAGCAAAAACAAAATCATCAATGACGTTAGTACCAGTGGTATATTATTAAAGGTGGCAACATGTATAATAACATTCGTCGTCGTGTAAATTGCAGAACTAAGAGTAGCCGCCGTCGTCGCGGTAGTAGTGGAACTAAGAGTAATTGTAGCGGTGATCATTTAAATAAGGGTCGCAGTAGTGGCAACAACTCCATCAAGAAACATCGTAGAAGGTCGCACAAATCAAGCAGCACCA